TTAAAATATTTCCACTATTGAAAAAGTGTAAAAAATTTGCACTCTCGAATAAGATGATAGATTTTCACTCTTTTGGAGTGAGAATCATTCCAAAGGAAAATAATCTCATTCTATTCTTGGAGTAAATTTCATTTCAAGAAAAGAATGAAAATCTACCACTCTTATTCAATGGTGTAATTTTTTACTCTTTTTTAATAGTAACAGTATTTTAACTCTTTTGGAATGAGATTTCATTCCGAAAGTTTAGAGAATGATGTTTTATTGAAATAAATTTGTTTGAATGCGTTATTTAACTGTTGGAGGATTGCAAAATGGAATGTTTACATAATGCTCATAATTTTTAATATGAAAGTGCTGATAGTACCAATTTTTTTGTTCTGCGATGTAATCCATCAGTAGAAATTATTATATTTTCATTATTATGTTACGTAAGTGTTTATACGCTGCACGTATCAAATAAAATATATATATAGGTAGTTTTTGTACACGAGAATGCATCATAAATTGCAAGCTTTTTCTTCAAAGTTGGACTTTTATCGTGTGCAGGAATTCGATCATCCCCACGTGCTGCTGCAGAAGGAGACAAGTTATCTAAAGAGCATGGTGCAGGAAACCGGCACGGCGATGGCGGAGGCTCTGGCCGGCGTTGCCCGCAACTGCTACGAGAATCGCGTTTTGATGCATCCGTTGAGTTAACTTTTCGCAATTGCATGTAACAAACATCAGTGACAGGCCATTCCGTCGATTTTTTACAAGCAGTTCTTAGACAAATTCTTGAAATTTGAAAAATAAGAGGAAAAGTGCAATGTAGATGAAATTCAGTCCGAGAATAGATTAATCGTTTTTCTACGAGTTCTATCTAGCTGTACTTTTTATTTTAGTAATAAACGAATTCTTTGTTACTTCAACGTTAAACGCGATTATCGCCAATGTATTTCAATTAAGCCGTATATACACCTAGCGAACGACTGATTGAACAGCGAATGCAAACGTTTGTGTTGTTATTTGTTACATAAAAGTTGCATAAGTTTAATTGCTATGTGCAACGGACATAAAATCTGATCGAATGCTAGTATTCGGTGGAATCAAGAAAACGAATAAATTACTTACAAACACGAATGTCTGAATATTCGCGTTAGTGTTCGTTTGTTAGATGTGTACGCAGCTTTATGCAGCAATCAATAAAGATTGTAGATTGCAACCCAACATGAATTTTTTAAATGGAACCTCCCCTTTTTTTAGATATTCTTGTAGCTTATCTCTAGAGCTTTCCAAAACACTATAATTAAGTTCATTTTCATTAAGTACTTTGCGAGTTATAAGGCTTGTAATTACTGTATTACTATGTCATTTTAGTATCAGCTCGAAATATTTCATCAGGAAGAATAAAATTGAAACTGGGTCACCAGTATATTTTATCGTCGGCGAACTACCATAAACGGTATAAATACTTCTTTGAAGCAATTTCTTGTATATATTGTATTTACATCACCATGGTGACAAAAATGTGACGCAAGTCAGAAATTAAAAATACAGTGTTTTAATTTTAAAAGCATGTGAGATTGTTTTAAAAAAGATATATAATTGTATACCCAGTATAAATATGAAAAAAGATGAATTATGCATACCCATATTAAGAAGCATTTTTGAACATTTCAGTAACATTGTAACAACGTTACAATGTTGCCGAAATGTTTCCAAATGTTTCTTACTCACTGGATATTCATTACTGTAATTAAAATATCGTCTCAATTAAAAATTTTAAAAGCTCTATTAAAAATTACTATAAGTTTTGAGATATGTCATTCTTTCTTTAACACAATAATATATATAATATATTATATTTTCTGTTACTAAATCACAAATAAAAATTAAAATTTCGTGTAATATTTGTGATTATAAAATTTGATAAACATAATATATATATTTATAACATGAAGAGAAAAAATAAAACATTTTAAAAACATAACACACAAATATGCCTTCTTATGCGAGTAT